GCAAAGCAAGCTCAGGGTGGATCACAACGTCACCAAACATTCCGAGCACAAGTTCAAGGCCAGAAGGCCAGTTCACATGCAAGATCATATATAAAGGTAAACAAGCAAGTGCAGGTATAGACAGATAACAGTACAAGCAAGGTCAAGAAGTGAGCAAGTGTGGCCAAGTAGGCACAAGACATAGCATCGTACAGAAGCGCTGATGATCACAAGGCGGAAGTGCCTTGGTAAAGATATCAGCAGTGTTGGCCTCAGAGGCCACGTAAGCAAGGCGCAGCTGACCACGCTGCTGCAGCTCACGAGCAAGGAAGTAGCGAAGAGCAATGTGCTTCGTTCTGTGCTCCAGTCTGTGCTCCCGACACAAGGCCAGCATGGCCTTGTTGTCTACGTACAGAACTGGAGGAGAACGAGGCGGCACTCCTAGGTCAGTCAGCAGGTAGGTGAGCCAGCGTAGCTCCTGTGCAGCCATGGCCCCCGCGTAGATCTCAGCCTCACAGCTGGAGCCGAGAACAGAAGACGAACGGGTAGACCGCCACGAAACAGAGCCGGAACCAAGGCTGAAGGTGTAACCCTGTGACGACCGCTGCGTAGCCTGGTCGTCAGCCCAAGAGGCGTCTGCGTGACCTGTGAGGACCACTGGACGTCGCCCTCCAAGCACTAGCCCCATGCCCGACGTACTGCACAAGTAGCGCAACACCCTCTTCGCTGCAGCCATGTGCTCTGGTCGGTGTCTCCCAGGAGCAACATAGCGTGCCAAGATGCTAAGAGGGTATGCAAGGTCAGGTCGAGTGCAGGTCATCAGGTACATGAGGCAGCCAACAAGCTCTGGGTACGGGCCACTCGGCTCTACGGACTCATCCGAAGGCAGAGCTGAGAGCGAGTGGCAAGTAGACAGAGGAGTGGCCTGAGGCGAGGAGTATGTGAAGTCGAAGCGCTGAAGGACCTGCTGCACCATGTGTGACTGAGTCAGGGTAATGGTGCGCTGTACTCTGTCCCGGGTGATCTGCAAGCCAAGGTAGCTGCGCAGTTCACCCAGGTCTGTGCACGTGTGTCTCTTCTGCAGCTCGGACTTCACGTGGGCGAGTCCAGCAGTGTCAGCAGTGGCAAAGACTAAGTCGTCGACGTACACGAGGATGTAGAACGGCGGCAAAGAGGTGTCGGTGCGCAGAAACAGCGACGGGTCGGCAGTAGAAGGAGCAAACCCAAGAGCCGCAAGTGTAGTCCTCAGTGTGTCGTGCCACTCACGGGGCGCCTGGCGGAGACCGTAGACTGGCCTCCGGAGGCTCCACTGGGTACCAGGGGGAAACGACCCAGTGAAGCCAGGTGGGCGGCGCAGCCAGATCTCCTCGTGCAGGCTGCCCTGCAGGAAAGCTGTGCTGAAGTCAAGAGAGTGAAGCTCGTAGTCGCGCTGAGCGGCTATGTGCAGCAGCACCCGAAGAGTGGTCCTCTTCGGGGTGGGAGAGAAGGTCTGAAAGTAGTCAACTCCCTGCCGCTGACTGAAGCCTCGAGCCACGTAACGCGCCTTGAAGACAGGCGGAGAACCCGGCGGCCGCTTCACCCTGAAAATCCACATGCCACTGACGATGTTCGCCCCAGGTGGGGGAACCTCGTCGACGCAGGTGCCTGTGGACTTCCAGGAAGCCATCTCTGCGTCCATGGCTGACTGCCACTGTGAGGAGTAGGGACCCTCGATCGCCTCAGCGTACGATCGAGGAGTCGGGATGTCTGGTGCATCCGGGTCTCCCTCAGGGTCAATCAGCGTGGACACGAGATGAGGCAAAGCAGCAGCAAAACACTGGAACTCCTCCTGCCTGTCCTCAAGGACGTCCGTGCTAAGAGCACACTCAACCCCGACGGACGGGGGACAGACAGACTCAGACTCAGCAACAAGACTAGCAGCGTAGTCTAGACGACAGCGAGCAGCAAAGTCGACAAGCTCAGCAACTAAGGCAGACGCAGCAGTGGACTCAAAGGAAGGGTCAGTGACAGCAGTAGCCAGGAGACGCGTGACAGTAGGACTGGCAGCACGAAGAGAGTCAGACTCCGGGTCAGCAAGGACAGGAAGAGAGGACTCTGGAGAAGACGGCAACGGGACACGCAGAGGAGCAGTGGAAGGACGCAGTGCCATCTGGTGTGTGCCTGGGACCGCAGGAGGACGCGGGCGCGGAGCACGACTACTAGCGCGAGCAGCACGAACAGGCGACGCAGGACGAGACGCAGGCTCACGACGCTCAGCAAGACCTCCAGTAGGACCAGTGTAGGGAGAAGGAGCAGGCAGGGGGGAGGCGGGCTGTAACTGTGACCGCGACTGGACAGGCTGTGGACACTCTAAGGGAGGAGCAGGACCAGTAGAGGGCGGGAGACCAAGAACCTGCTCAAGGAGCGGAACGAAGTACGGCCGCGGCCGCGCAGCGCCTCCAGAACCAGCAGGGACAGCACCAGTACCCCCAGCGGCAGCACCAGCGCCAGCAGCACCAACTCCAGCACCCTCAGTCGCACCAGCGCCAGCAGCACCTCCAGCGCCAACACCCCCAGCAGCTCCAGCTCCAGCAGCTCCAGCAGCTCCAGCTCCAGCAGGACCGTCAGCTCCAGTACCGCCAGCAGCTCCAGCAGCACCCCCAGTCCCAGCAGCTCCAGTACCGCCAGTACGAGCACCTCCAGGACCAGCAGCAACAGTAGCACCTCCAGCTCTAGCAGCACGGCTCCAGCGCTGGGCAAACCACTCGCGCAGCTCCTGCGGAGAGAGTAGCTCCCGCCTCGACGAAGCACCGCCAGAGGTCACACGAGCAGACCCAGCACCCCCAGTCTCCGCACCCCCAGGCTCCGTACCCCCAAGCTCAGCACCCCCAGGCTCCGCACCCCCAGGCTCAGCACCCCCAGACTCAGCACCCCTAGGCTCAGCACCCCTAGACTCAGCACCCCCAGGCTCCGCACCCCCAGGCTCAGCACCCCCAGACCCGGCACCCGCAGGCTCAGCACCCCTAGCAGCACCAGAGTCAACAGCTACCTCGACAGGCTCGACTGCGTCTACCTGGGACACACCTGACGGGGTAGGACCCTGAGGGGGGAGAGGGTCTACCGGGGGAGGACCCGGCGCAAGGAAGAGCGGCGGCGGGGGGAGGGGCGCAGTGCGGTAGGGGAAGAGACGGTAGTAAGGCACCGACTCGTCAAAGGTGACGTCCTGGGAGGACAGAACACGGCGCGAGGTGGGGTGGTAAAACTGCCAACCAGGCGCGTCAGGGGGGAAGCCAAGGAAGACGCAAGGAACAACACGGGGGGACAGCTTGTCCGCAGACAAGTCGCGGACAAACGCCCGAGATCCCCAGACCCGAAACGCAGACGCATCGCCAACCTTCCCCGTCCACCGCAAGGTGGGGGAGGTCTCTGGCAAGGAGACCCGGGGCTGAAGGTTGAGCTGATGCGCTGCGTACTGAACCGCAAACGGCCACAGAAAATGGGGAGCAGCCGCATGGATCATGGACGTACGAGCGACGTCCATGACCATGCCAATGCGGCGCTCAGCAATCCCATTTTGCTGTGGAGAGGCCGGAAGCGTGAAGGTCTGCGGATGCCCTGTGTACGACAGAAGGCTCCCAGACGGGCAGAGGAAAACTCCCCGCCTCTGTCAGAGTGCAGACGCAGAACAGGAAAGTCCGAGCCGAAACTCTCTCTGAGCTGGAGACGAGCTGCGCGGATCCAGTCGATCAACACCTCAGTGACGTCACCCTTGCTGCGCAAGGGGAACACCGTGGTGTAACGCGAGTAGTCGTCAACCACCAACAGGAAGTAACGCTCGTGACCCTGGCCACGGACGCGGGCGGGGCCCCACACGTCCATGTGAAGAGTCTGCAGCGGAGCCTCTGTCGGAGGAAACTCGGAGGAGTGAGGGGCGGCGCGCTGCCGCCCCTCGACGCAGGGAACGCAGGTAGGGGCAGGCCCCGGAGGGAGGGGAGGGAGGGACCGGGGGAGACCAGAGACAAGGACACGGGAGGCCATGCCTCGGAGACGAGGCAGGGAGGGGTGACCAAGGCGGTGGTGCCAAAGGAGAGTCTGGTGGGACAGGAGACGACACGAGCAGGGAGCAGACTCAGGACCAGACCTGGACGCTGCAGCAAACACCTGACTCGACGCAGCTACCTGACCAGACTCAGCAACCGGAGGAGACTCAGTGGTCAGTGTGTACAGGCTCGACCCCGGCCGACGGGTAAACGTGGCCAAGTGTCGGCCCGTCCGAGCACACGTACAGTGGGTCACCCGCTGACTCGCAGGAGTGAACTGGTCAACCCCCCCATCCTGTAGATCAGCACCACTCACCAAGTTCGTAGAGAACGAGGGGAGGTAGAGACCTGACAGGGTGCCAGAGGGGGCTGCCGGACACGGTAAGACAGTGGAGAAGCGAGCAAGGACAGGACCCCCAGAGGGGTCCGCCAGGGAGACCGCAACCGGCCGACTAAGCGGCGTAAGCGTGGTGCGGTCTCGAAAGAAGGAGCGGGAAGCACCCGAGTCAAGGGTGAAGGTGTGTAAGGCCTGAGCCGACGTGGTACCTGAGAGAGCAGACTCACCAGCACCTGGGGCAGCAGACGCACTAGCACCTAGAGCAGCAGCCTCACCAGCACCTAGAGCAGCAGCCTCAATGCCCGGGTCAGGCGGAACACACAGGTAACAGTCACCCTCATCACTAGTAGACACAGCATACATGGCAGCAAGAATAGCATCATAGTCAAGATCAAAGATAGCAACCCCCGCCCTAGACAGCTCTCCCCAGCGAGGGATCTCAGTGGCGTCAGGGAACTGGTGACGCCAAGCGTCCGTCAGGCGGCCGAAGCAGCGCTGGGTGGAGTGCGAGCCCCCGCACTGCTCACCAGCGCGGTCACCGGTACGGAGAACGTAGGTACAGGGACCAGTACCCCCACCTCGCTGACGCCCAGCGTACCACTCACGAAGCTGCTGGGGGGACGGGGTCTCACGAGGGCGCTGCTGCTGCTGGCGCTGACCACCACCTAAGCCGCCCCACTGCGCAGAGCCACCCCGACTAGCTCCACCTCCTCCGCCGCCACCTCCGCCACCGCCGCCACTGCCTCCTCCTCCGCTCCCACCGCCACCGCCGCCGCCGCCTCCGCCGCCACCGCCGCCACCGAAGCCCCCACCCCCGCCACCACTCCCACCACCACCCCCACTCCCTCCGCCTCCTCCACCTCCACCGCCCCCGCCAGCCCCTCCAGCGCCCTTGCCCCCCTTGCCCTTGCCGGTGCGGCGTCGCCCGCTAGGGGCAGACGCAGCGCCGACCGACTCGGTGCCAACGAAGTCGACGGCAGCAGCAGAGGCAACAGAGGGCAAAAGGGGGGAGGGGGAGCACCCCTCAAAGACAGGGGCACGCGGGTCACCTCGAGAGGCTCCTACAGCGACTATACTCTTCTCAGCTGCCAGGAGGCGCTCCTCGAGGAGGTCAACGGTGAGTGTGGTGGGGCAAACTGAGAGGAAGTGGTCCCTGACCGAGCGAAGGGAGTCAGGGAGCCGGGTGACTATGTAGTAGAGGGTGATGTACATGGGGGGGGGGTTCTTGGCGCAGAACTCAGCAGGAAGCGCAGCGCGGTAGCGGGTGTCACTAGTGCGAAGGTGCGTAACGAGGTCAGCGACAGTGGGAAAGGCGGCGAGGTCAGGAAACAGGTACGGCAGTATGAGGCAGCTAAGAGCAGCAGTGGCAGGGGAAGAGTAGCGTGCAACTACAGCGTCGTACAAGGTCTTAGCACTCTTGTACTGACTAAAGTGCGCACGCTCAGCGGTCGGTAAGTGGCGACGCACAGCAAGAAGGGCAGCAGCATCGCGCGTGGCCCACTGTGAGCGAACAGTGCTGTCAGCATCAGCAGGCGGGGCAGGAGAGGCACCAGAGGTGAGATCGAACAGGGAGAGTCCGTCTGCCCTATCGCACTGTAGGAAAAGCTGCAGGTCATCGACCCAGACCTCGAAGTCAACAGCACGACCCTCAGCATCAAAGGTAAGGACACTGGGGGTAGCCATGACAGCAGTGGTCTGGCAGGGAGGGCTCTCACCAGTCCGGGTGGGTAGGGCCAGGGCGCGCCGGGAGGAACAGGGCTGCAACAGCGGTGGCAGCGGCTCGGCAGTGGCAGTGGCGGCTCGACGGCGGCCTCGGCGGCTCGTCGGCTCGGCTGCAGGCGGCTCGGCTGCTCGGCGGCTCGGCTGCTGGGCAGCTCGGCGGCTCGGCTTCTGGGCGGCTCGGCGGTTTGGCGGCTCGGCTGCTCGGCGGCTCGGCTGCTCGGCGGCTCGGCTGCTCGGCGGCTCGGCTGCTCGGCGGCTCGGCTGCTCGGCTGTTCGGCTGCTCGGCGGCTCGGCAGTGAAGGGGCCAGGGAGGGGCCGAAAGGGGGGGGCGGCGACGGGGCCGCAAGGGGCGGCGATGGGGCCGCTAAGGGCGGCGACGAGGCCGCTAGAGGGTGGCGACGGGGCCGGGAAGGGCGGCGACAGGGGCCGCTAGGGGCGGCGACGGGGCCGCGAAGGGCGGCGACGGGGCCGCGAGGGGCGGCGACGGGGCCGCGAGGGGCGGCGACGGGGCCGCGAAGGGGCCGTGAGGGGCCTGGAAGGGCGGCGACGGGGCCGCTAGGGGCGGCGACGGGGCCGCGAAGGGGCCGCGAGGGGCCTGGAGGGGCGGCGACGGGGCCGCTAGGGGCGGCGACGCGGCCGCGAAGGGGCCGCGAGGGGCCTGGAAGGGCGGCAACGGGGCCGCTAGGGGCGGCGACGGGGCCGCGAAGGGGCCTTGAGGGGCCTAGAAGGGCGGCGACGGGGCCGCTAGGGGTGGCGACGGGGCCGCTAAGGGTGGCGCGAGGGGCCTCTAGGAGGGCTCGACAAGAGGGCGGCCCACGGGGCGCGCCTCAGGCAGGGGCGACTCGCGCTCCGGTCAGAAAAAAAGTCGATTTTCAGTGGTGGGCCCTAGGAAGTTCCCACTAGGGAACCTGCTCTATACCATGTGAGAATTGAGGAATGAAATGAACTAGCAAGCAGGTGGGTACAAGTAGGAAAACCTAAAAGTGTTGTACCCCATATTGTCTACCCCAATACAGCCTACACAGACTATAGCATATGAGTTTGACAGCTGAGATCTACGCTGGGGCCATGGTTGCACATGAGTAACGCTGGCTCACCTACCTGCTGACCGACTTGGGAGAGGCGCCTCGTTCTCCTCCAGTTCTGTACGTCGACAACAAGGCCATGCTTGCCTTGTGTCAGGAGCACAGACTGGAGCACAAAACGAAGCACATTGCTCTGCGATACTTCCTTGCTCGAGAGTTGCAGCAGCGTGGTCAGCTTCGTCTTGCGTACGTGGCCACTAGGGCCAACACTGCTAATATATTCACCAAGGCACTTCAGTCTGGTGATCATCAGCGCTTCTCTACTATTTTAGGCCTTGTGCCTACTTTGCCTCACTTGCTCACTGCGTGATTTTGTTTGTAGTGTGATCTATATATATATACCTGCATGCTTACTCTTGCTAGGATGTGATCACTGTACTATTTGTTCTCTTTTATACAACTCAGTATATGAACTGGCCATTGTGGCCCTTTGCTTGTGCTCGGAATGTGTGGTGACTTTGTGATCCACCCTGAGCTTGCTTTGCTTTTCTTGACTGGTCTTGTGACCACTTGTTCTCCCCCACTTTGCCTATGGGGGTGTGTCAGAATGTTATATTGCTTACTTGTATAGGCTATAGTGGGGTAGCCCATAAGGGGTACAACCCAATTAGGGTTAGTACTTGTACCCAACTCTTTCATAGTTCATTAATTCTCGTTCGTTATTCTGACAGGGAATGTTGAGTGAGCCGTTTGAAAATAGAGAAACGTGGGTGGAGGGAAATGAGCTCCAACCTACGGTTTTAGTAGTTGGAGAAGGGCGTTTAGCGCGCTTTGACGATGCCAATTGTGCAATACAAGCAGCTTTGCTTTCACAATACACAACTTAAAAAAAACTCTATGTGTGTTAAAAAATTATAATATTGAGAAATTTTGCTTTCTTATTCTTATCAATTGGCATCGTTCTCATTACAAATGGGGTCTCTGAGACATAGGCAGCGGGTGCCTCCGGTTACGTACGAGTGCCTCTGTGTGTTGTGCCAAAGTCACCGCATGCGTTGGATCTTGTAGGTTGCGGGAGGCTTTGATGAGAGGCTCGAAGTATGGCGTCACATACATTTCCTTTGTTGTGTCGCTTCGCCATCTGCCCAGCCGTCTGAAGACTCTGTCTGGCACTCCAGTGTTGGCTGCTACTGTGGCTGCGCCTTTTCGGAAAGAATGACTGCCGAGCTACAACTCGCCAAGGCCAACCTTTGCGAAGGCTTCCTTGAGGGTGTTGCGCTACTTGTGCAGTACGTCGGGCATGGGGCTCGTGCTTGGAGGACGGGGTCCAGTTGTCCTCACTAGTCACGCAGACGCTTCTTGGGTTGACGACTTGGCTACGCAACGGTCGTCACAGGGTTACACCTTCAGCCTAGGTTCTGGCTCTATTTCTTGGCGGTCTACCCGCTCATCCTCGGTTCTCAGTTCCAGTTGTGAGGCTGAGATCTACGCAGGGGCCATGGCTGCACAGGAGTTACGCTGGCTCACCTACCTGCTGACTGACTTGGGAGAGCAGCCTCGTTCGCCTCCAGTTCTGTACGTAGACAACAAGGCCATGATTGCCTTGTGTCAGGAGCACAGACTGGAACACAGAACGAAGCACATCGCTCTGCAATACTTCCTTGCTCGAGAGTTGCAGCAGCGTGGTAAGCTTCGTCTTGCGTACGTGGCCACTAGGGCCAACACTGCTGATATATTCACCAAGGCACTTAAGTCTGGTGATCATTTGTGCTTCTCTACTGTTTTAGGCCTTGTGCCTACTTTGCCTCACTTGCTCACTGCGTGACTTTGCTTGTACAGTGATCTACATATATATACCTGCATGCTTACTCTTGCTAGGCTGTGATCACTGTACTGTCTGTTCTCTTTATATAATTATGTTTCTGAACTGGCCATTGTGGCCCTTTGCTTGTGCTCGGAATGTGTGGTGACTTTGTGATCCACCCTGAGCTTGCTTTTGTCAGAATAGTGAAGGAAGGAATGACTGAACTAGCAAGCAGGTGTTTACAAGTAGGAAACCTAAAAGTGTTGTACCCTATATGAACTACCCCACTACAGCCTAGACAGACTATAGCATATAAGTTTGACACACCCCCATAGGCAAAGTGGGGGAGAACAAGAGGTCACAAGACCGGTCAAGAAAGGCAAAGCAAGCTCAGGGTGGATCACGACGTCACCACACATTCTGAGCACAAGCAAATGGCCACAAGGCCAGTTCACATGCAGAGTTATATAAAGGAGAACAAACAATACAGTGAACACAACCTAGCAAGTGTAAGCATGCAGGTATATGTATAGAGATCACAGTACAAGCAGAGTCAAGAAGTGAGCAAGTGAGGCCAAGTAGGCACAAGACCTAACATAGTACAAAAACGCTGATGATCACAAGGCTGAAGTGCCCTGGTAAAGATATCAGCAGTGTTGGCCCGAGTGGCCACGTAAGCAAGACGGAGCTGACCACGCTGCTGCAACTGTCGAGCAAGGAAGTAGCGCAGAGCAATGTGCTTCGTTCTGTGCTCCAGTCTGTGCTCTTGACACAAGGCAAGCATGGCCTTGTTGTCGACGTACAGAACTGGAGGAGAACGAGGCGCCTCTCCCAAGTCGGTCAGCAGGTAGGTGAGCCAGCGTAACTCCTGTGCAGCCATGGCCCCAGCGAAGATCTCAGCCTCACAACTGGAGCTGAGAACAGAAGACGAGTGGGTAGACCGCCAAGAGACAGAGCCGGAGCCAAGGCTGAAGGTGTAACCCTGTGACGACTGCTGCGTAGCCAAGTCGTCAACCCAGAGGGCGTCTGCGTGACCAGTGAGGACAACTTGAGCCCGTCCTTCAAGCACGAGCCCCATGCCCGACGTACTGCACAAGTAGCGCAACACCCTCTTAGCTCCATCCATGTGCTCCTTCCTGTGTCTGCCAGGAGCGACATAGCGTGCTAGAATGCTAAGAGGGTAGGCAAGGTCAGGTCGAGAGCAGGTCATCAGGTACATGAGGCAGCCCACAAGCTCTGGATACGGGCCACTCGGCTCTACGGACTCGTCCGAAGGTGGAGCTGAGAGCGAGTGACCGGTAGGCAGAGGAGTGGACTGTGGCGAGGAGTACGTGAAGCCGAAGCGCTGAAGGACCTGCTGCACCATGTGTGACTGAGTCAAGGTAATGGTGCGCTGTGCTCTGTCCTGGGTGATCCGCAAGCCAAGATAGCTTGTCAGCTCACCCAGGTCTGTGCACGTGTGTCTCTTCTGCAGCTCCGACTTCACGTGGGCGAGTGCCTCAGTGTCAGCAGTAGCAAAGACCAAGTCGTCAACGTACACGAGAACGTAGAACGGCGGCAGAGTGGTGTCAGTGCGTAGAAACAGCGACGGGTCAGCAGTGGAAGGAGCAAACCCAAGAGCAGCAAGAGTCGTCCTCAGTGTGTCATGCCACTCACGAGGTGCCTGGCGGAGATCGTAGACTGGCCGCCGGAGGCTCCACTGGGTACCAGTAGGAAACGACCCAGTGAAGCCAGGTGGGCGGCGCAGCCAGATCTCATCGTGCAGGCTGCCCTGTAGGAAGGCTGTGCTGAAGTAAAGAGAGTGTAGCTCGTAGTCACGCTGAGCGGCGACGTGCAGCAGCACCCGAAGAGTGGTCATCTTCGGGGTAGGGGAGAAGGTCTGGAAGAAGTCAACTCCCTGTCGCTGACTGAAGCCTCGTGCAACGTAACGCGCCTTGAAGACAGGCGGAGAACCCGGCGGCCGCTTCACCCTGAAGATTCACATGCCACTGACGATGTTCGCCCCAGGCGGGGGAACCTCGTCGACGTAGGTGCATGTGGATTTCCAGGAAGCCATCTCTGTGTCCATGGCTGTCTGCCACTGAGAGGAGTAGGGACCCTCTATCGCCTCTGCGTAAGAGCGCGGGGTCGGGATGTCTGGTGCATCCGAGTCTCCCTCAGGGGCAAGCAGCATGGACACGAGATGAGGTAAAGCAGCGGCAAAGCACTCAAACTCCTTCTGTCTGTCCTCAAGGACGTGCGTGCCAAGAGCACACTCACCCCCGACGGACGGAGGACAGACAGACGCAGACTCAGACTCAGCAACAAGACTAGCGGCGTAGTCTAGACGACAGGCGGCAGCAAAGTCAACAAGCTCAGCAACTAGAGTAGACGCAGCAGTGGACTCAAAGGAAGGGTCAGTGACAGCAGTGGCCAGAAAATGCGTGACAGTAGGACTGGCAGCACGAAGGGAGTCAGACTCCGGGTCCAGACCGTCAGGAAGAGTGGACGCAGGAGGAGACGGCAGAGGGACACGCTGTGGAGCAGTGGAAGGACGCAGAGTCATAGAATGAGTGCCGGGGACAAGAGGAGGACGCTGACGCGGAACACGTCGACCAGTGCGAACAAGCGACTCAAGACGAGACTCAGGTGACGCAGGACGAGACTCAGGCGACGTAGGATGAGACTCAGGCTCACGACGCTCCGTAAGACCTCTAGTCGGTCCAGAGTAAGGAGAAGGACCAGGCAGTGGAGAGGCTGGCTGTAACTGCGACTGTGACCGGACAGGCGGTGGACTCAGTAAGGGAGGAGTAGGACCAGTAGAAGGCGGGAGACCAAGAACCTGCTGAAGGAGCGGAACGTAGTACGGCCGCGGCCGCGCAGCACCTCCAGAAACAGCAGAGACAGCACCAGTACCCTCAGCTCCAGGGTCTCCAGCTACAACTCCCGCAGCACCACCAGCTCCAGGACCTCCAGCAGCTCCAGCTCCAGCAGCACCTCCAGTAGCAACAGCTCCAGCACCTACAGCTCCAACTCGTGCAGCACCACCAGCCCCAGCAGCTCCAGTACCTCCAGTACGAGCACCTCCAGGACCAGCTGCTCCAGCACCCCCAGCAGCTCCAACACCAGTAGGACCTCCAACAGCGCCAGTACCTCCAGCACCAGCACCTCCAGGACTAGCGGCTCCAACAACTCCAGCACCAGCAGCACCTCCAGCAGCTCCAGCTCCAGAAGCACCTCCAGCAGCAGGCTCCGTAGCTCCACCAGCACGGCTACAGCGCCGAGCGTACCACTTACGTAGCCGCTGCGGAGAGAGGGGCTCCCGCCGTGACGGGACACCTGGAGGACCTCCAGACTTAGAACGCTCAGGCTCAGCACCCCCAGGCTCAGCACCCCCAGGCTCAGCACCCCCAGGCTCCGCACCCTCAGACTTAGTAACCCCCAGGCTCAACACCCCCAGGCCCCGCACCCGCAGGCTCAGCACCCCTAGCAGCACCAGAGTCGACAGCTACCTCGACAGGCTCGACAGGGTCTACCTGGGACACACCTTAGGGGGCAGGACCCTGAGAGGGGAGGGGGTCTACCAGAGGAGCACCAGGTGCTAGGAAGAGTGGCGGGGGGGGGGGAGAGGGGCAGTGCGGTAGGGAAAGAGACGGTAGTAAGATACCGACTCGTCAAACGTGACAACCTGAGAGGACAGAACACGACGCGAGGTGGGGAGGTAAAACTGCCACCCAGGTGCGTCAGGGGGGAATCCAAGGAAGACGCAGGGAACGGCACGGGTGGACAGCTTGTCCGCTGAAGTATCGCGGACAAAAGCTTGAGATCCCCAGACACGGAACACAGACGCATCGCCAACCTTCCCCGTCCACCGCAGAGTAGGTGTGGTCTCCGGCAAGGAGACACGAGGCTGAAGGTTGATATGATGCGCAACGTACTGAACCCCGAACGACCACAGAAAATGGGGAGCAGCCGCATGGATCATGGACGTACGAGCGGCGTCCATGACCATGCCAATGCGGCGCTCAGCAATCCCATTTTGCTGTGGGGAGGCCGGAAGCGTGAACGTCTGGCGGATGCCCTCCGCACGACAGAATGCCCTCAGGAGGTCGGAGGAAAACTCACCACCTCTGTCGGAGTGCAGACGCAGAACAGGAAGGTCCGAGCCGAAACTCTCGCTGAGCTGGCGACAGGCACCGCGGATCCAGTCGATCAACACCTCAGTGACCTCACCCTTGCGGCGCAAGGGGAAGACTGTGGTGTAACGCGATAGTCGTCAACGACCAGCAGGAAGTAACGCTCGTGACCCTGTCCACTAACGCGGGCTGGGCCCCACACGTCCATGTGGAGAGTCTGCAGGGGAGCCTCTGTCGGAGGGAACTCGGAGGAATGAGGAGCGACGCGCTGCTGGCCCTCGACACAAGGAACACAGGTAGGGGCAGGCCCCGGAGGAAGGGGAGGGAGGGACCGGGGGAGCCCCGAGATAAGGGTACGGGAGGCCATACCTCGAAGACGAGGCAGGGAGGGGTGACCAAGGCGGTGGTGCCAAAGGAGAGTCTCGTGTGACAGAGGACGACACGAGCAAGGGGCAGACGCTGGACTAGACCTGGACGCGGCAGCAAACACCTGACTGGACGCGGCTACCTGACCAGACGCAGTAACCGGAGGAGACGCAGTAGTCAGTGTGTACAGACTCGACCCAGGCCGACGGGTGAACGTGGCCAGGTGGTGGCCCGTCCGAGAGCAAGTGCAGTGGGTCACACGCTGACCTCCAGGGGTGAACTGGTCAACCCACAAGTCCTGAAGGTCAGCTCCACTCACCAAGTTCGTAGAGAACGAGGGGAGGTGGAGTCCCGACAGCAAGCCCGACGGGGCCGCAGGACACGGTAGAACCGTGGAAGAGTGCGCAAGGACTGGGCCCCCAGAGGGGTCAGCCAGGGAGACTGCGACAGGCCGACTGAGCGATGTGAGTGTGGTGCTGTTGCGAAAGAAGGAGCGCGAAGCACCAGAGTCAAGTGTGAAAGTGTGCAAGGCCTCAGTAGGTGCAGTACTAGAGAGAGCAGACTCACCAGCACTTGGAGCAGCAGACTCACTGGTACCTGGAGCAGCAGACTCACTAGTACCTGGAGCAGCAGACTCACTAGCACCTAGAGCAGCAGCCTCAATGCCCGGGTCGGGCGGAACACACAGGTAACAGTCACCCTCAGCACTATCAGTCACAGCATACATGGCAGCAAGGATAGCATCGAAATCAAGATCAAAGATAACAACTTTCTGCTTAAGCAGATCACCCCAGCGAGGGAGCTCAACAGCGTCAGGAAACTGGGCGCGCCACGCGTCAGTCAGGCGACCGAAGCAGCGCTGCGCAGTGTGTGGCAGCCCGCACGTCTCCCCGCGGCGCCCGGCGGTGCGAAGAACGTAAGTGCAGGGACCAACACCCCCCGACCTCCCACGCCAAGCGTACCACTCACGAAGCTGCTGGGCCGACGGGGTCTCACGGGAACGCGGCTGCTGCTGGCGCTGGCTACCACCAAAGCCTCCACGCTGCGCGGCTCCACCTCGACCAGCACCACCGCCGCCGCCACCTCCACCACCGCTGCCGCTGCCTCCACTGCCGCTGCCGCTGCCTCCACCACCCCCACCGCCGCCACTGAAGCCCCCACTCCCGCCACCACCCCCACCTCCACCGCCACCCCCTCCGCCTCCTCCACCGCCTCCACCGCCGCCCCCACCGTCCCCTCAACCACCCTTGCCCCCCTTGCCCTTGCTGTTGCCACGCCTCCCACTAGGAGCAGACGCAGCCCCGACCTCCTCAGTGCGAACGAGGTCGAAAGCAACAGCAGAAGAAACAGAGGGGAGAAGGGGGACAGGGGAACACCCCTCAAAGAAAGGGGCGCGAGGGTCGCCGCGAGAAGCACCTACAGCAACGATACTCTTCTCAGCTGCAGTGAGGCGCTCCTCTAGCAGGTGGACGGTGAGCTCGGTGGGGCAAAGGGAGAGAAATTGGTCCCTGACTGAAGCAAGGGAGTCAGGGAGGCGGGTGACTAGGTAGTAAAGGGTGATGTACATGGGGGGAGGGTTCTTGGCACAGATCTCAGTGGGAAGCGCAGAGCGGTAGCGCGCGTCACTAGTGCGGAGGTGAGTAATGAGGTCAGCGACTGTGGCAAAGGCGGCAAGGTCAGGGAACAGGTACGGCAGCATGAGGCGGCTGAGGGCAGCAGTGGCAGGGGAGGAGTAGCGCGCTACTAAAGCGTCATACAAAGACTTAGTAGTCTTTTACTGGCCAAAGTGCGAGCGCTCAGCAGACGGCAGGTGACTACGAACAGCAAGGCAAGCAACAGCGTCACGAGTGGTCCACTGCGAGCGAACCGTACTGTCAGCAGTGGCAGCAGGTGCAAGAGAGACACCGGACGTGTGATCGAAAAGGGATACTCCGTCCTTAGAATCACACTGAAGAAAGAGCTGCAGGTCGTCAACCCACACATCAAAGTCAAACGCACGCCCCTCAGCATCAAAGATAAGAACATGAGGGCTAGCCATAGCGGCAGTAGCAGCAGTAGCAGCAGTAGCAGCAGTGGCAGCAGAAGCAGCAATAGCAGCAGGAGCAGCGCGGGCAGGGCAGTGCGGCTAAGTAGGGCGGCGCGACTCGGCAGGGCGGCGCGGCTCGGTACGGCGGCGCGGCTTGGCTGGGCGGCGCGGCTCGGCTCCTGGCGGCGCGGCGCGGCAGGGCGGCGCGACTCGGAGGAGCGGCGCGGCTCGGCTGGGCGGCGCGGGTGCTTACCAGGGGCGGGTGCAGGGCAGGGCCGTAGTTGGCGGTGAGGTCAGGGCCGCGACTGGGGCGGCAGCAGGGCAGGGCCGCTACTTGGCGGCGGTAGAGCAGGGCCGCGACTGGGGCGGCTGAAGGGCAGGGCCGCGACAGGGCGGCAGCAGGGCAGGGCCGCGACGGGGCGGCGGCAGTGCAGGGCCGCGACAGGGCGGCAGCAGGGCAGGGCCGCGACGGGGCGGCGGCAGTGCAGGGCCGCGACAGGGCGGCAGCAGGGCAGGGCCGCGGGTGGCGGTAGGGCAGGGCCGCGACGGGCCGAGAAGGCAGGGGGCCGCGACGGGCCGGTAGGGCAGGGCCACGACGGGCCGAGAAGGCAGGGCCGCGACGGGCGGCTCTAGAGCAGGGCGCGCGACGGCGCAGGTGAGGCAGGCGCGAGGCGCGCTTCGGGCAGGGCAGGAAAAAAAAATGATCGTGGTGGGCCCTAAAAAAAAAACGTTCCCACGAGGGAACCTGCTCAGAATACCATGTCAGAATACTGAAGGAAGGAATGACTGAACTAGCAAGCAGGTGGGTACAAGTAGGAAACCTAAAAGTGTTGTACCCTATATGAACTACCCCACTATAGCCTAGACAGACTATAGCATATAAGTTTGACAGCTTTGCTTTTCTTGACTGGTCTTGTGACCACTTGTTCTCCCCCACTTTGCCTATGGGGGTGTGTCAGAATGTTATATTGCTTACTTGTGTAGGCTATAGTGGGGTAGCCCATAAGGGGTACAACCCAATTAGGGTTAGTACTTGTACCCAACTCTTTCATAGTTCATTCATTCTCGTTCGTTATTCTGACACGGAATGTTGAGTGAGCCGTTTGAAGATAGAGAAACTTGGGTGGAGGGAAATGAGCTCCAACCCACGGTTTTCATAGTTGGAGAAGGGCGTTTAGCGCGCTTTGACGATGTCAATTGTGCAATACAAGCAGCTTCGCTTTCACAATACACACTTTAAAAAAACTCTATGTGTGTTTAAAAATTATAATATTGAGAAAGATTGCTTTCTTATTCTTATCAATTGGCATCGTTCTCATTACAAATGGGGTCTCTGAGACATAGGCAGTGGGGGCCTCCGGTTACGTACGAGTGCCTTTGTGTGTTGTGCCAAAGTCACCGCATGCGTCGGATCTTGTAGGTTGCGGGAGGCTTTGATGAGAGGCTCGACGTATGGCGTGACATACATTTCCTTTGCTGTGTCGCTTTGCCATCTGCCCAGCCGTTTGAAGACTCTGTCTGGCACTCCAGTGTTGGCTGCTACTGTGGCTGCGCCTTTTCGGAAAGAATGAGTGCCGAGCTGCAGCTCGCCAAGGCCAACCTTTGCGAAGGCTTCCTTGCACCAGTTGCGGATTGTAGAGTATGAAGGTGGCCTCACCTGACCTTTGCTAGTTGAAGCATGGCCGAAGACGCGAATCAACGGTCCTTCTAACTGAGGGCCATAGCCAGCGAGTACAGCGCACTGGGCAACAGGGGTCCGCTGTTGCTGCAATGGGAATCCATGTGCCATGACCGGCTTAATCAGTCTTGGAGTGTGGTATGAGGATCCACATGACCTCTTCGTCGAATTTGCCCTTAGGCCCCCCGAGGCCCGTCACTCCTGGCCCCGCGGCCCGTCGTTCCTGGCCCCGCGGCCCGTCTCCCCTAGGCCCCCGGCCCCTCGGCCCGTTGCTCTTAGCCCCGCGGCCCGTCGCCCCTGGGCCCCGCGGCCCGTCGCCCCTAGGCCCCCGGCCCCTCACTACTGGCCTTGCAGCCCGTCGCCCCTAGCCCCGCGGCCCGTCGCCCTTAGGCCCCCCCCAGGCCCGTCGTTCCTGGCCCCGCGGCCCATCCCCCCTAGACCCTCGGACCCTCGGCCCTTCGTTCCTGGCCCCACGGCCCGTCGCCCCTACGACCCCGGCCCCTCGGCCCGTTGCTCCAGGCCCCACGGCCCGTCGCCCCTCGGCCCTTCGTTCCTGGCCCCGCGGCCCTTCCCCTCCCTAGGCCCGGCTCGTAGCCTGTCGCCCCTGGCCCCGCGGCCCATCGCCCCTATCCTAGGCCCGGCCCGTAGCCCGTCGCCCTTGGCCCCGCGGCCCGTCGCCCCTTACCTAGGCCTGGCCCGTCGCCCCTAGGCCCCGTGGCTCGACACCCCTAGGCCTCCGGCCCGTCATTCTCGGCCCCGCGGCCCCTCGCCCCTTTGGCCCCGTGGCCCGTCGCCCTTAGGCCCCCGACCTCGGCCCCTAGGCCCCGGCCCGTCGACCTCAGGCCCGGCACGCCGCTTCTTGCGTGCTGCTGCTACTGCTACTGCCCTGCTTGCTGCCCCCTCTCTGGTGCTCCTGCGTGCTGCTACTGCTACTGCTACTGCTGCCTGCTGCCCGCCCTGCTTCTCCCCGCTCTACGTGCTTTGCCGCTATGGCTTCGCTTCGAGTTCTCGCGTTCGATCATGAGGGCAGACCGATTCAGTTTGACACGTGGCTCGACGACCTGTAGCTGTACCTACTGAGCGATTCTAAGGACAGTGTTTCGTTGTTTGACCTCGCGTCAGGCGATGCTACCGCCCCTCCCGCCACAGCTGACAGTGCGACTCGCTCACAGTGGCTTACTCGCGACGCTGCTGCCCGCTTAGCCATTTGCAACCACCTGCCGTTAGCCGAATGCGCTCACTTCGGACAGCACAGGACAGCACAGGCACTGTACGACGCTGTAGTCGCCCGCTACTCCTCGCCTGCCACTGCTGCTCTAGGCCGCCTGCTTCTGCCCTACCTGCTACCCGAGCTGTCCGCCTTTGCCACGGTAGAGGACCTTGTTTCCCACCTCCGCACTAGCGACGCTCGCTACCGCGCTACCGGTCCTGCTGAGTTCCTTGACAGGAACCAGCCCCCGATGTTCATCACTCTCTACTTCATAGTCACCCGCCTCCCTGACTCTCTTCGCTCTGTCAGGGACCACTTTCTCTCACTTGACCCCACCTCCCTCACTGTTGACCTACTCGAGGAGCACCTCCTCGCAGCTGAGACTAGTGCAGTTGCTGTAGGTGCTGCTCGTGGCACTCCGCGCACGCCCTTCTTTACAGGGTGCTCCCCCTCCCCCCTTGCCCCCTCCTACGCCTCTGCTGCTGCTGTAGACGTCCCTGGTGCTGAGGACGTCGGAGCTGCTTCTGCTAGTGCGAAGCGCCGCAGTGGCAAGGGCAAGGGTGGCAGGAGTGGTGGAGGGGGCAGCGGGAGTGGTGGTGGGGGCAGCAGTGGAGGTAGTGGAGGCAGTGGAGGTGGTGGCAGCGGTGGGAGTGGTGGCGGGAGTGGGGGCGTTGGTGGCGGCGGTGGAGGCAGCGGTGGGAGTGGCGGTAGTGGCAGCGGTGGCAGTGGTGGCGGTAGGACTGGAGCTCAACGTGGAGGTTTTGGAGGAGGCCAGCGACAGCGGCAGCAGCGTCGGAGCGAGACCCCGTCGCCCCAGCAGCTTCGTGAGTGGTTTGCTCAACGTGGGGTGTCTGGGGGTAGTGTGAGCTGCCCATATGTCATTCGCACACGTGACCGTGCTGGTCAGACATGCGGGAAGCCTCACACTCAGCACCGCTGCTTCTCCCGCCTCGACGATGCTTGGCGTGCTGAGTTTGGTGATGAGGTCGAGCGCCCCCACTGGGCAGAGCTGCTTAGGTCTGGTGTTGCGATCTTTGACCTAGACTATGATGCTATTATTTCTGCTATGTATGCTTTGTCCGCTAGTGCTGAGGGTGACTGTTACCGGTGTGTGCCGCCTGACCCAGGTATAGAGGCTGCTGCTCTAGGTGCTAGTGAGTCTTCTCTCCCTGGTACTGCGCCTGCTTAGGCCTTGCACACTTTCACGCTAGACTCAGGTGCCTCACGCTGTTTCTTTCGTGACAGCACCACCCTCACTCCTCTCCCTGCACCCGTCCCGGTCAGACTGGCTGACCCCTCTGGGGGCCCGGTCGTTGCCCGTTCCTCCACTGTTCTCCCGTGTTTGGCGGTTCCGTCCGGCTCACTCTCAGGTCTTCACCTCCCCTCGTTCTCTACGAACTTGGTGAGTACCGCGGCCCTCCAGGATTCGATGGTCACTACCACCACTCCTGGGGGTCAGCGTGTGTCGATCTGCACGTGTACACGGACGGGTTGTCACCTTGCCACGTTCACACGTCGGCCACGGTCGAGTCTGTACACACTGGCTACCGAGCCTCCTCAGGTAGCTGCGTCTGCCCAGGTGTCCGCGTCAGGTCCGGTAGCACCCCCCTGCTCGTGTCGCCTCCTGTCGCACCAGACTCTCCTGTGGCACCAGCGACTTGGTCACCCCTCCCTGCCACACCTTCGTGGCATGCACTCCCACCTCCTTGTCTCTGGTCTTCCCAGGTCTCTGCCTCCCCTCCCGCCTTCGCCTGCCCCGCCCTTCCTTCCTTGCGTCGAGAGGCGGCAGCGCGCCGCTCCTCACTCCTCCTCGTTTCCCCCGATGACTGCTGTTAGAATACTAAGTTAACTAGGAACCGGGGTTTACTAAGGGCCTAGGCTTAGTAGCCTAGGCCAAGCGGGTGTCGAGGTGGTTGTCACCAAGGAGAATTGAAGAATGTTTTTGTTGTTCACTATAGCACACAAGGTACATATAGCAAACTAGCAAAGGTGCACCACCAACAAGGAAACATAACTACACTAGAGCTAAAGCTACAGGCAGTTATAAACATATATAAATATATATCGCGACACACCCCCTTAACTGCCTGCAGCACATAGCTAGAGTAAGTCACACCCCCTAAAGGGGTATTGCAGGCGTTGTGAAAGATGGTAAAGAGGTAAGTGAGGAGGAGGAGGCGAGAGAGAGACAGGGGAAGAGAGGAGATAAGAACAAAGGAAGAGGTGAGTGAGGGATGAGGAGAGGAGGTGGGGGGGTGGCCGCGGCGTCCCCTCTTACTAACCCCCTTTTACACAGGGGGGGTTGAGTGGGGGATGAGGAGTGGAGGTGGGGGGGTGGCCGCAGCGTCCCCTCTTACTCACCCCCACATCCCCACCCCCAATCAACCAACCCCCTGTAACCTCACCCCCCATTTCAACCGCCCCCTGGAACCGCACTCCCTCCCCCCTTTTCTTCCTCCAGACCCCTCCCCACCCACGATGGTCCCTGTCCAATTCTTCACAGGTGGGGCTGCTGGTCACAGGTGGGGCTGCTGGTCACAGGTGGGGCTGCTGGTCACAGGTGGGGCTGCTGGTCACAGGTGGGGCTGCTGGTCACAGGTGGGGCTGCTGGTCACAGGTGGGGCTGCTGGTCACAGGTGGGGCTGCTGGTCACAGGTGTGGCTACTGGTCACGGGTGGGGCTGCTGGTCATAGGTGGGGCTGCTGGTCACAGGTGGGGCTGCTGGTCACAGGTGGGGCTGCTGGTCACAGGTGGGGCTGCTGGTCACAGGTGGGGCTGCTGGTCACGGGTGGGGCTGCTGGTCACGGGTGGGGCTGCTGGTCACAGGTGGGGCTGCTGGTCACAGGTGGGGCTGCTGGTCACAGGTGGGGCTGCTGGTCACGGGTGGGGCTGCTGGTCACAGGTGGGGCTGCTGGTCACAGGTGGGGCTACTGGTCACGGGTGGGGCTGCTGGTCACAGGTGGGGCTGCTGGTCACAGGTGGGGCTTCTGGTCACAGGTGGGGCTGCTGGTCACAGGTGGGGCTGCTGGTCACAGGTGGGGCTACTGGTCACAGGTGGGGCTGCTGGTCACAGGTGGGGCTGCTGGTCACAGGTGGGGCTACTGGTCACAGGTGGGGCTGCTGGTCACAGGTGGGGCTACTGGTCACGGGTGGGGCGGCTGGTCACAGGTGCCTGGTGCCTGGTGCTGGCGGCTGGCGCCGGTGTTGGTGCTGGTGCCTGGTGCTGGCGGCTGGCGCTGGTGCTGGTGCTGGTGCTGGCGCTGGTGCCTGGTGCTGGCGGCTGGCGCTGGTGCTGGTGCCTGGTGCTGGCGGCTGGCGCTGGTGCTGGTGCCTGGTGCTGGCGGCTGGCGCTGGTGCTGGTGCCTGGTGCTGGCGGCTGGCGCTGGCGCTGGTGCCTGGTGCTGGCGGCTGGCGCTGGTGCTGGTGCCTGGTGCTGGCGGCTGGCGCTGGTGCGTGGTGCTGGCGGCTGGCACTGGTGCTGGTGCCTGACGGCTGGCGCTGGTCCTGGTGGCTGGTACTGGCGTAACGGCGCTGGTGCCGGTGCTGGTGCTGGTGACAGGCTTCGGTGCTGGTGCTGGTTCCTAGTGCTGGTGGCTGGCGGTGGTGCTGGTGCCTGGTGCTGGCGCTGGTGCCTGGTGCTGGCGGCTGGCGCTAGTGCTGGTGACTGGTGCTGGCGGCTGGCGCTGGTGCTGGTGCCTGGTGCTGGCGGCTGGCGCTGGTGCTGGTGCCTGGTGCTGGTGCCTGGTGCTGGCGGCTGGCGCTGGTGCTGGTGCCTGGTGCTGGCGGCTGGCGCCGGTGCTGGTGCTGGTGCCTGGTGCTGGCGGCTGGCGCCGGTGCTGGTGCCTGGTGCTGGTGCTGGTGTTCCGCCACCACTCCCTTCCCCCTTTTCCTCTCTCTCCCACAGCATTCTGCCACCACTCCCTTCCCCCTTTCCCTCTCCCCCCACAGCGTTCCACCGCCAATCCCTTCCCCTCCTCCCTCTCCCACCCACAGTGACCGCCGCTGCACATTCGAACAGTCGCGACGGGGGGGGGGGTGACGGGCAGGGGGGGTGGGGGAATGCGACGGGCGGAGCGAGGCGACGGGAGGGAAGAAAGCGGGACGGGGGGGGGGGAAGGGCCGCGACGACCGCCACGGACGCCGTCCCCTTCATTCCCGATTCTCCGCGGTGCTGTACGGTTCTGGGCGGGGTAAAGTAGCTGGTGGGGCGGCTGACTTCAGGGTGAGGTGACTGGAACGGGTGGTACAGCGGGCACCGGGTGGGTCAGCTGACGAGCTGCGCGTGCGAGCGGCTATTGCTGCGCGTGCGTGCAGCTATGGCCGCGCGTGCGTGCTGCTAATGCCGCGCGTGCGTGCGGCTAATGCTGCACGTGCATGCGGCTAATGATGCGTGTGCGCGCGGTCGCATGTGCGGCTACGATTGCACGTGCGCATGCGTCTGCTGCGCGCTAGTGGGCTGGCGAGCTACGCACGGGGCAGAGAACGGGTGAAGCGCGGGTGAGAAAACTGGTGATGCACGGGGCAAAACGGGTGACGCGAGCGGGGCAAACGGGCACTACGGACTAGATCGGGGCACGGGGCGGTGGGCCCATAGGACGGTCTAGCTCTATACCATGTTAGAATACTAAGTTAACTAGGAACCGGGGTTTACTAAGGGCCTAGGCTTAGTAGCCTAGGCCAAGCGGGTGTCGAGGTGGTTGTCACCAAGGAGAATTGAAGAATGTTTTTGTTGTTCACTATAGCACACAAGGTACATATAGCAAACTAGCAAAGGTGCACCACCAACAAGGAAACATAACTACACTAGAGCTAAAGCTACAGGCAGTTATAAACATATATAAATATATATCGCGACAACTGCTCCCTTGCAGACTCTCCACATGGACGTGTGGAGCCCAGCCCGCGTCAGTGGACAGGGCCACGAGCGCTATTTTCTGCTGGTCGTTGACGACTACACGCGGTACACCACCGTCTTCCCCTTGCGCAGCAAGGGTCAGGTCGTTGATGTCTTGATCCCTTGGATCCGTGCAGTACGTCTCCAGCTCCGCGAGCGGTTCCGCCAGGACCTTCCTGTTCTGCGTCTGCCCTTTGACAGAGGTGGTGAGTTCTCCTCTGACCTCTTGCAGGAATTTTGTCGTGGGGAGGGCATCCTCCAGTCGTTCACGCTTCCGGCCTCCCCGCAGCAAAATGGGATTGCTGAGCGCCGCATTGGCTTAGTCATGGAGGTCGCTCGTACCTCCATGATCCATGCGGCTGCTCCCCATTTTCTGTGGCCGTTTGCGGTCCGGTACGCTGCGCATCAGCTCAACCTCTGGCCCCGTGTTTTCTTGCCGAAGACCTCGCCTACACTGCGTTGGACGGGGCAGGTTGGCGATGCGTCAGTGTTCCGGGTCTGGGGCTCTCGTGCCTTTGTTCGCGATACGTCCGCGGACAAGCTCTCCGCCAGTGCTATCCCCTGCGCCTTCCTTGGCTTTCCCCCTGACGCGCCTGGCTGGCAGTTTTACCACCCCACCTCGTGCCGTGTCTTTTCCTCTCAGGACGTCACATTTGACGAGTCGGTTCCCTTTTACCGTCTCTTCTCTACCGCTCTGCCCTTCCCCCGCCCCCGCCGCTCTTCCTTGCTCCTGGTCCCCCTCCGGTAGACCCCCTCCCGCCCCAGGGTCCTGCTCCCTTAGGTGTGTCTCAGGTAGACCCTCTCCCTGGTACTGTGCGTGTTGAGGTAGCTGGCGACTCAGGTGCTGCTCAAGGTACTGCGTCTGGGGGTGCTGAGTCTGGGGGTGCGGAGCCTGGGGGCGCTGAGTCTGAGGGTGTTGGGTCTGGGGGTGCTGAGCCTGGGGGTGCGGAGCCTGGGGGTGCTGAGCCTGCGGGTGTGGAGCCTGGGGGTGCTGAGCCTGAGGATGTTGAGAGTGGGGGTGCGGAGTCTGAGGGTGCGGAGTCTGGGGGTGCTGAGCCTAGGGGTGCTACTTCGTCTGGAGGTCCTGTTGGTGCTTCGCCGTGGCTGTCTCCATGACCGGAGCCTCTCTCCCCGCAGCAGCTGCGTGAGTGGCTTGTTCCGCGCGCACGCCTTTGGAGTGGAGCTGCCGGAGCTGGAGACACTGGAGCTGGAGGTGCTGGTGTTATTGCTGGAGCTGTTGGTACTGGAGGTACTGCGGCTGCTGGTTCTCGAGGTGCTCATACCAGGGGTACTGGAGCTGCCGGGACTGGTGGTGTTGGGGGTGCTGGAGTTGGAGACCCTACTTAGCCTGGAGCTGATGGAGCTGGGGGCACTGGCGCTGGTGGTGCTGGAGCTGGAGGAGCTGGAGCTAGAGGCACTGGCGCGGGAGGCGCTGGAGCTGGAGGAGCTGGAGCTGTTGACCCTGGAGCTGGAGGTGCTAGTGGTACTGGTGCTGGAGGCACTGTGCGGCCGCGACTGTACTTCGTTCCCCTGCTTCAGCAGGTTCTTGGTGTCCCGTCTTCTACTAGTCTTACTCCTCCCTTACTGTGTCCACTGCCTGGCCAGTCGCAGCCGCTGTTACAGCCAGCCTCCCCACTGCCTGCTCCTTCTCCTTACACTGAGTAGTCCGGCGGTCTTACAGAGCGTCGTGAGCCTCCGCGCGCTGCTCTGCAGGGGCGCGTGCTGCTCTGCAGGGTGGCGCGTGTTGATCTGCAGGGGCGCGCGCTGCTCTGCAGGGGCGCACGCTGCTTTGCAGGGTGGCGTGCGCTTCTCTGCAGGGTGGCGCGGGCTGCTCTGCAAGGGTGCGCGCTGCTCTGCAGGGGCGCGTGATGCTCTGCAGGGGCGCGCGCTTCTCTGCAGGGTGGCGCGGGCTGCTCTGCAGGGGCGTGCAATGCTCTGCAGGGGCGTGCGCTTCTCTGCAGGGTGGCGCGGGCTGCTCTGCAAGGGCATGCGATGCCCTGCAGGGGTGTGCGCTTCTCTGCAGGGTGGCGCGGGCTGCTCTGCAGGGGCGCGCGATGCTCTGCAGGGGCGCACGGGCGACGCGCGGGCTAGGGGCTAGGCGCGTGGGCTACACGCGGGCTAGGGGCTAGGCGCACGGGCAACGCGCGGGCTAGGGGCAGGGCGCACGGGCGACGCGCAGGCTAGGGGCAGAGCGTGTGCTAGGCGAGAGCATGGGGCGTAGGCGCGGGCTTAGTGCGTAAAAACGGGCTAGGAGGGTGGAGGGGGAAACGAGGGCGTGAGGCTCCACGACGGAGCGGACGGAGCGAGCTAGGTGAGGCTAGGCTAGGCTAAGGAATGAACCTCATGATACCTCTCAAGAAGTACGCACAACGGAATGGTAGGAATAGAAACGGATGGGATACAAATATGCAACCCTAACAACTGTACCCCCTAGAAGGCACCTCACTATAGCCTACAATAGTTATTATACTTTGATACTCCTAACTAAGTTCTTGTTTTAACAAACATCAACAACAACACCAAACACCAACACCAATATCAACACCAATACCAACACCAACACCAACACCAACACCAACACCAACACCAACACCAACACCAACACAAACACCAACACCAAGCACCAACACCACTACCAACACCAACAACGACAACAATACCAACACCAACACAACACCAACACCAAAACCAACAACAACAACAAGGCAGAGTATTAAGTTATTACACAAATAAATCAACTAGGACACTGGAATCGTCTGTCAACCAACTATCATGCCGTTCTTGTTACAAAAGCCCGCAATACGCCGACATGGATGTACCCTTTCATGATTGCATGGCTAGCAATGACTCTTTGTATGTCGTTGTAAACAAACCGGATGTGTCTTGGTTTATATCAGTACTGCAAGTCTACTTTCACTCAGAGTTACGACAAAAAAATAAGATTACGTTACTGTGTGTATTGCGAAATTTTGAAACCCTATACCATAATATCTTGTGTAAACATGAGACAGTGGGTGGGAATATGCGTATGGAGGGAATTTCTTGAGTTATCTCCACTACAGTCAATGCACAGTCCAAACCATCGACACTTTATTTCATGGACGAATTACATCCCATACTTTCAATATCCTAACAAAAACAATGACAATGCGCCTCTCATGCACGTTATTTACGAACACCATCCGCCTCGTCAACCTCGATCAACAGCATTTGATGAGAAACATAGATGTTGGACCAAACTGCAACCATTGGAAATGACCATTGTACATGCGAAACAAAAAAACTGAAAAGGGGTTCATGCTTAGCTTCCTGATGGAGATGCGTACCCTGCCACACCCCATCGCACCTGCTATCGCACCCTGTCACGCCCCGTCGCATCTGCATCGGCACCCGCACCTGCTATTGCGCCCGTGCTAGTTGACGCCGTGTCTGCCGCATCCGCCACGCGCGCTGCCGTGGCTGTTGTTGTGGGGGGAGGAGGCGAGGGTGGCGGCCGTGGCAGATGAAGGGCTCCCAACGATGGACTGCTGCCGTCTGCCGCACTTGCCACGCCCGCCAAGCGCCCTGCCGCGGCCCCCGTTGTTGTGGGGAGGCTGCGGGGGTGGCGGACGTGAGCCTGCAGCATCAGCTGCTGCCTAACCTGCCGTTTCTGCACCTACTGCCACTCCAACTTCTTTTGTTGCACCTCCATTTGTTCTTCGTGCTCCTCCTCCTCACTGGTGTTTCTCATTGCACGTGTTTCTTCTTGCTGGTTCTCTTGCCTGCCTCGCACATGCCGTGCGCCTGCTGCTGCTCGTTAGTCGTTGCACGTGAGTTGCTACTCCGCAGTCGTTGGGCACCAGCAGTCACACCTTTTGCACTCGGGCAGTGTCCCCTTCATGGGGTGTTCTTGCACAAGTTCTTGCTACAAGCGTACATCATAAACCGCCTACATCATAAACTAGTGTTATCATTTTTCGTCAAAATTGTTGGTGTTACATTACTATGCCTTAGCATTTGCTTGTATTTCTCGGGCCCTTGCCCCTCTATTCAACCTCATTCTGTGCCGTAGCTTCCTAAGTTCGCTACGTATTGTCAGCCATGCCTCTGGAGGATTGTTGTGTGTCACTGTACGTCGGCATCAAGTGGAGTCGCACCTCGTTGATGTGTACTTTCCTGCAAAAGTAATCAGCAAAAGTAGTGTTCGCAAAGATGCCTCATTCACTTTGAGATATCCTATCCAAGGTGAAGCATATGAAGATAATGGGGGATTTAATAATGATAGTTGAAATTAGACCGGTCACACAAATAAGGACATCACATCAATATAAAATAAACGAATACTAAATCAATGTGTTGGACTAGACTTGGACGGTGCTTCCCACAGTCTACAAGCTACCTACGAAGTAATACACCTCCTTACTCCACATGGTTTAGGGTTCCCCAAAAGATGTGCACCTACAAAGCTTTGGTGCCTCACTCATTGCTAAGTCACATCACAGAAGCTTATTAACTGATACCATCGAAAATCACCAGCCACTGCCTCTCAATTTCAGTAATATTGATGTCACCAACATGTCTACGTGGTCCTGGCTTGAAGCATCAAGAGCATCATAACGCGCGATTCCCTACTCAAAGCATACATGGACCACGAAAAATTCGTTATCAGTGCAGAACGCTGTCAGAACATTATAGCTTATACATTTGTGTAGGCTGTAGTGGGGTAGCCCAAAAGGGGTACAACCCAATTAGGGTTAGTACTTGTACCCAACTTCTGCTCAATGCATTCATTCTCGTTCGTTATTTTGACATGGAATCAGAGCAGGTTCCTTGGGCCCACCACCTGCTACGCTTCTAGTACCCCCTAGGCCCGTCGCGCCCCTTAGGCCCGTCGCGCCACCTCACGGCCCCGCGCCCCCCCACCCCTTCGATCCAAGCCCCTAGGCCCCGTCGCTCACGGCCCCTCGGCCCCGTCGCTCACGGCCCCTCGGCCCGTCGCTCACGGCCCCTAGGCCCGGCCCGTCTCTGCCCCTAGCTCGGCCCCGTTGGCCCCGTCGCCCCTAGCCGCGCCACTCGGCCCCGTTGGCCCCGTCGCCCCTAGCCGCGCCACTCGGCCCCGTTGGCCCCGTCGCCCCTAGCCGCGCCCCACGGCCCCGTTGGCCCCGTCGCCCCTAGCCGCGCCTCGCGGCCCCGTTGGCCCCGTCGCCCCTAGCCGCGCCCCTCGGCCCCGTTGGCCCCGTCGCCCCTAGCCGCGCCCCTCGGCCCCGTTGGCCCCGTCGCCCCTAGCCGCGCCCCACGGCCCCGTTGGCCCCGTCGCCCTTAGCCGCGCCCCTCGGCCCCGTTGGCCCCGTCGCCCCTAGCCGCGCCCCACGGCCCCGTTGGCCCCGTCGCCCCTAGCCGCGCCCCACGGCCCCGTTGGCCCCGTCGCCCCTAGCCGCGCCCCTCGGCCCCGTTGGCCCCGTCGCCCCTAGCCGCGCCCCCTCGGCCCCGTTGGCCCCGTCGCCCCTAGCCGCGCCCCACGGCCCCGTTGGCCCCGTCGCCCCTAGTCGCGCCCCCTCGGCCCCGTTGGCCCCGTCGCCCCTAGCCGCGCCCCACGGCCCCGTTGGCCCCGTCGCCCCTAGCCGCGCCCCCTCGGCCCCGTTGGCCCCGTCGCCCCTAGCCGCGCCCCTCGGCCCTGTTGGCCCCGTCGCCCCTAGCCGCGCCCCACGGCCTCGTTGGCCCCGTCGCCCCTAGCCGCGCCCCTTGGCCCCGTTGGCCCCGTCGCCCCTAGCCGCGCCCCTCGGCCCCTCTGGCCCCGTCGCCCCTAGCCGCGCCCCTCGGCCCCGTTGGCCCCGTCGCCCCTAGCGTTGGCCCCGTTGCCCACACCTAGGCCCCGCGGCCCGTCGCCACCTGGCCCCTCGGCCCCTGGCCCCTCGGCCCCTCGTGGCCCCTCTTGTTTGGCCCCTCGGCCCCGCCCCTCGGCCCCTAGGCTCGGCCCCTCGGCCCCTTGTCCCCTTGGCCCCTTGGCCCCCAGGCCCCTCGGCCCCTCGGCCCCTAGGCCCCGTGTTTGGCCCCTCGGCCGCGCCCCTCGGCCCCTTGGCCCCTCGGCCCCTTGGCTCCTAGGACCCTTGGCCCCTCGGCCCCTCGGCCCCACCACCCTCGTGTTTTGCCCCTCGGCCCCTAGGCCCCTCGGCCCCGCCCCTTGGCCCCTTGACTACTACTTCCCCTTGACTGCTACTGCTACTGCTGCTACTGCCGCTCCTGCTACTGCTGCTCCTGAGTACTGCGCCACTATGGCTTCGCTTCGAGTCCTAGCGTTTGATCACGAGGGCAGACCGGATGCATTTGACACGTGGCACGACGATCTGCAACTGTACCTACTGAGCGATATTAAGGACAGTGTCTCGCTGTTTGACCACGTGTCCGGTGTCGCTCCAGCCCCTCCCGCCACAGCTGACGGTTCGACTCGTTCCCAGTGGCTTTCTCGTGACGCTACTACCCGCTTAGCCATTCGCAACCACCTGCCGGTGGCCGAATGTACCCACTTTGGACAGCACAGGCCCTGTACGACGCTGTCGTTGCTCGCTACTCCTCCCCTGCCACTGCTGCTCTAGGCAGACTGCTACTGCCCTACCTGTTTCCTGAGCTGTCGGCTTTTGCCACCGTAGCGGACCTGGTTACCCACCTGCGCACTAGCGACGCTCGCTACCGCGCTACCGTCCCTGCTGAGTTCCTTGCCACAAACCAGCCCCCCATGTTCATCACCCTCTACTTCATAGTCTCTCGCCTCCCTGAATCTCTTCGCTCTATCAGGGACCACTTTCTCTCCCTTGACCCCACCTCCCTCACTGTTGACCTCCTCGAGCAGCATCTCCTCGCAGCTGAGACTAGTGCAGTTGCTGTAGGTGCTGCTCATGGCACTCCGCGCCCGCCCTTCTTTGAGGGGTGCTCCCCCTCTCCCCTTTCCCCCTCCTTCGCCTCTGCTGCTGCTGCAGACGTCTCTGCTCTTGAGGACGTCGGTGCTGCTTCGACCAGTGTGAAGCGCCGCAGCAGCAAGGGCAAGGGTGGCCGGGGTGGTGGAGGTGGCAGCGGTGGTGGTGGAGGTGGTAGTGGGAGCAGTGGTGGGGGCAGCGGTGGAGG